CTTCCCTTCTTTTATACCCTCTTCTCTCCCCTTTATATCCTTTCTTCTCTCCCTTCTATATCCTCTTCTCTCTCCCCTTTTATAACCTCTCTTCTCTTCCCTTCTTTTATATTCTCTTCTCTCCCCCCTCCTTTTCTCTTCCATGCACCTCCAGCTGATTCCTCTCAAGGCTGCGCTTCTCCATCTCTCTTTTGCAGTCCCCTTCTCTTTCCCCCATTGTCTTTTTTTCTCTCCCTCTCCTGCCAAAACCTTCTCCTTTTATAGCCTCTCCTCTCTGTCCCCCCTCCTCCTTTTTTCTTCCGGGTGCACTGGAAGCACTGACCCTGGGGCTTCTGTCTCACCCCATAGCCCTGCCAAAACACACACTGATCCTGGGCTTTTGCTGAGCCTCGACAGCCCTGGAGCTCCAGCTGTCTCTCCCTCAGGCTTGTGTGGTGCTGCCACTGCTTCAGCTCATTCCCCTCCCTCACTACACTTGTCTAGGACAGTTGCGTATCACCTGCCAGGTGCCAAAGTACCACAAGTGGTATGCATACCACTGGTTGAAAAGCCCTGCTCTATAGCACTGATGAGGTTACCTAGTTGGATAATGAAACATCTGCAAGCAAACAACCAATCTCAGAGAGCACCAAGGACTAAACATTCCCATAATCCCACGTCAGATTAGCCTCTAATGACTGTTTCCATATTACACAAATAGAACTGGAGGCATGAACAAAAAGTGAGGTGTAGGTATTTGCATAGCCATTGTACATTGTGTAACAAGATCTGTTATGATTTGTTTATGGCTTAATGGGAGCCCAGTCACTGTGGCCTATACCAGGGCTTTTCAACCGATGGTACACGTACCATCTGTGGTACATTAGCACGTGGCAGGTGGTACGCAGCCCTGCCCAGCCAAGTGTAGTGGGGGAGGGAACGAGCCAGCACAGGCAAGGACTTACTGTGAGAGTCCTTCAGAGCTGCAGAGTGGCTGGGGCAAGGCAAAGGCCCCAGGCTCACTTCCGGCTCACCCGGAAGAGAAAGGAGGAGGAGGGGGGCAGAGACAGGACAGGCTATAAAAGGAAGCAGTTTGGGCGGGAGAGGGAGAGAGAGAAAAAGCAGCAGCCTTGGGAGGAGGTGGAGTCAGCTCTAGCTGCACCGAAGGGAAAGGAGGAGGAGGGTAGGGGGGGAGAGGAGAGGAGATCAAGCAGGCCGGCCATGAGCTGATCTACAATTGCTATGGCAGCCACCTGTGCTGGCAGCAGCAAACAGACAAGAAATGCAGCGGGGGAGGGGTCGCCCCCCCACGAGGAATGAAAAAAGGCAGCAATGAAGAAAGGCAGTATCGGCTGGAGGTGAGACACAGAGGAGGGAGGGAGATGGACATGAACCTGGGCATGCTGCAATGGTCATAAGTGTGAAAAATGGTCATAAGTCATTTCAGTGCAATTGCAACTTTGAACAGGGTGTTTTTTTTGGTCATCAAGTTTTAACACCTTGCTAGGTGGTACTCGAATATTGCCATATCCTAAAAGTGGTTCAGTCGGTGAAAAGGTTGAAAAGCCCTGCTGTACAACATTAAAAAGGATTAAAAATACTGGAGAAGAAATATGTGGATCTATTTCTGATTTGATGATTCAGAAAATCAAATCGATTCAATTTTCCAGATCAATTTGATAAAAAGACATCAAATAAATCCAGAGGCATCCAATTTGACACAATTTGATGATTCAGGAAAAATGGCTTCAAATCAAATTTTGTTGTTAGTTGCGAAGTCGTGTCCGACCCATCGCGGCCCCATGGACAATGTTCCTCCAAGCCTTCCTGTCCTCTACCATCTTCTGGAGAACTAAAACTTTATGCCGTGCTATAAAGTAATCCAATGTAAAATTGAACAATGTACCCTCAGCCCAATACTGACCTCTACAAGCTAAATTTATTCCCTATTAAGTTTCAGGTATATATCTTTCATCAATAATTTCTTGGTTAAAAAAAAATCACTCAATCCTATAATCTTTTCCAGAGATGATTTCTCAGCTTTAACATTTAAATGATAGATTGTGTTCGCACACAATCCAATTAGCCAGGGTAAAGATGAGCTTCTGGTTTAATTATATTATCACAGAAAGTGGCAAACTATTTTAGTTAGTTAATAGTAGTAGAAGTAGCAGTAAAGGCAGTGTAGGCAAATGTGATGTCTCCAAGCTGTACAGCCAGAGTCATGGGAAGGTGAGAATTGTGGTCCAAAATATCTGTAGACCAGAGTTTTCCAATCTATAGGTTTGGACCCTGTTTGCTAGATCCAGTCCCTATGATTGGGTCCATGCAATGGATTTTGATGCAGTGGTCTCCTCAGTCTTGAAGGAGGGTGTAGTATGCTCCTTCCTCAAGAAGACATCCTTGGATTCAGTCCTGATAAGATCGTAGTTATATCTATTTGGGCTCCTTGGATCTAGGAATACTCCATCACTGACTCTCATTTGATACCTTTGTGTAAGCTAAGGTCCTCTTGGACTCTCATCTCTTACTTGAAGAGCAGATGTCACTCATTGCACAATGGCATTTAGCCAATTGCACCCTTCCTGGACCAGGAGGCCCTTCAGACAGTTACTCATGCCTAGTCACCTGCCTTGGAAGCTGCAGCAGGTCCAGAATGTGGCAGACCAGGCAGTGGTGAGAGCACTGTGGCAGAAACACTGTTATGTGCCTGAGACCCTGCTGCTTTTTTATTGGTTGGATGCAATTCAAAATGCTGGTAATCACCTTTAAAGGCCTTCATGGCATAGGGGCCTAGATTTCTGAAGAACCACTTATCTTCAGTTGGATCCACTTTCTGGTATCATCAACCAAGGAAAGCACAATCTAGGTCCCATTGATTAAACTACGCTGCAGGAACTCTTAATTTTTTGCAGTAACTGGCCTTTCTCCTTCAGGAGTGGCTCTAGATATTTTGGCATCTAACCAAAGTCATATTCTGGTATCCCTATGCTTTGGTTCATCCTCTGATTTGTTAGGAATTTCAAAATGGAAGCCTCTTGTTTTATTCTTTTAATTTTTGAGCTTTACACTTAATGATTTTCAGCCACAGACAATTCTTTTTTTTTTTTTGCTTGAACACTGTAACCTATTTACATTACAAAATTATACAGGTAGTCCTCAACTTACAAAAATTCATTTAGGGACAATTTGAAGTTACGGCATTGAAAAAAGTGTCTTATGACTGTTTTTCACACAACTGCTGCAGTATCCCCATGGTCACATGATTAAAATTCAGGCGCTTGGCAACTGGTTCATATTTATGTTTATGTTTATTTAAATTTGTATACCGCCTTATCTCCCTTACGGGACTCAGGGCGGTGAACAGGCGATAATAAAAAAACACAATAAATATCTATTCTAAAATCAGATTAAATAAATAAAGGCCTGCTCTAAAATACCCCATATAAAAACCTGTACTAAAACCTAATTAAAACTACGCCAGGCCGGCCGCACGGAATAGATGGGTTTTCAGGGCTCGGCTGCCCAGGGCCCGGCTGCCCAGGGTCTTCAATCTTTTGACAAAGTCAATGGGGAAGCCAGATTCACATAACAACTGTGTTACTAACATAATAACTGCTGTGATTCACTTAACAACAATGGCAAGAAAGGTCATAAAATGGGGCAAAATTCACTTAATAAATGTCTCACTTGGCAACAGAAATTTTGAGCTAAACTGTGGTCATAAGTCGAGGATTTATCTCTTGAGTGAGTACGCTCACTTGGGAAGTACTCCATTACAGTTTTTCACTTTCATTGTTTTTCAGAAGTTTTTTTTCTTATTCAGTGTTGGCACTCCTTAAAATTTAGTGTCCTTAGCCAGTGCCAATTCAGCCTTAGCTAGAGCTGGCTTTACAGAGATTTGTATGCCCTTTTGTTGTTTAGAAAATTTTTAAAGACTTAGTTGTTCTTCCATGGAGCCCCCTTTAATTATAATTGGTTTATAGTTGACATCTTGTTCCTCTAGTCAGTTGTGTTCTTTTTAAAAAAAGAACTGTCAAGGAATCAGGTGCTCTTGAAATCTGATAAATAAAAATAAATAAATAAATAAAACTATTTGCAATAATTTAGTTTCCTTTCTTCTTCTTTTTCTCTCTCTCTTTTTTAATCTGGAGGATGTCTTACATTTTCTCCCATCTCCTAGTCTAATAACCTCATCTACTTTATAGATTTCCTTTTTTTACTATAATATATAGTAATTTTTAATTACTATAATTTTTAATTCTTGTTAAATCCTAGTGAAACACAGATATCCACACCAACCAATAAAGGAAACAGTCCTGCAAAACCTTTCCATGCCAAGTATTAGGGCAAAGTACAGACTCCACTTTTAAAGAAGTGAAAGAAATATCTAGCTCTGCTTACTTCCTTCAAGTGCCTGATTGCTTCGGTGATAAAACTGATACAAAGGTAACGCTTCTGGGATGTGCTTACTAACTGAACTATGGTTTGCTCGCATACCTGAGTTGCCCGGGTTCTCCTAACACGTTCCATTATAATCACACACAGGATGGGTTTGCACAACGCATTGGGCTGAAATTTGGCCGGATCCTTTGTAGGTCAGTGCATTGGCAAACAAAAGCTACTGGATAGGAACATCGGACAGCTTCTCAGAAAAAAAAAAGATCTATCGTGCTCCAAAAAGGATCTCCCACCTCCCACTGTATTCTGACAAAGGCTCTAGACCCGGGGACTTCAGTTTCTTTCCTAACGGCTCTAATCTATCAGAAAGAAAGAACATTTATAGGATCACGTTAGACAAACCAGTTCTCCCAAGATGCTTTCCTATCCACCAAAGGGCTTCAGGAGCGGATCCCCAGCCTGATTTCAGGGCCAGAACAGATCAAATCGGAACACGTGAAGGAAAAGGCTGTCTCCAGCTGCACGTGGAGCGCCTTTGAAATTAAACTGCCCCGGACTCCTCGTCTCCTTAACCCTTCCTTCCCGCCCCAAACTTCCCCGCTACCTCGTCTCGCCCGTACCTCCGCCAGCCGCTCCAGAGCCTCCCGTTCCAGGCAAGTAAAGTTCACCAGGAGCTCCCACTTTTCCTGCAGGAGGTGCTCCGTCGTGTCGCGTTCCTGGGGCGACTCGAGCGCCCAAAACGCGGCGCTGCCCAGCAGCAGGTAGCTCAGGTAGAGGAGCAGCAGCGCCAACGTGGAGGGAAGCCCGCAGCGTCGCTCCGTCGGGCAAGTCTCCGGAGACGCCATACTCTGGCCGTCGCTGTAGCAGCCTCTAGTCTAGTCAGTGGCGGTGGCGGGGCAAAAAATGCTAGGGAAGGAGTGGGGCAGAGGCGCAGCCGGGGGAGAAGTTGTGCCTGCGGGCCCGAGGCTGCGGCCTCCTTCAGAAGGACCCGAGGAGCGGCGCTTCTCCGCCCGGATTCCTCTCCCTGGGCGGGGCTAAAGCACAGGCATCCCAATGCTTTTTCCCCAACGGAGCGAACCGGTCAGTTTGAGCTGCTAACTCGAGGTTTCCTTTTGAGTCTCGGGTGTAGTAGAAGCCTTTACGCGGAGAGAATGCGTGTTCTTGTGCCCGGGACGTTTGAGTAAGTAAAACTGAAGTCAGCCACCAGTGTTGAATGTGCCATTTGGGCTTGAACTGCTAAGCCAAGGACTGGCAGGGCTCGGCCCCGTAAAGAACGCAGCAGTTGTGTCCGGAGGAGGCGCTGACTTGGGCTTAATTTAGCATTTAGTTAGGTTTATCTTGGATTGAAATGGGGATGCGAGTCAGTTTGGAGTAGTGGTCACAGCCCTAGCCCAGAAACCAGGAGACTGGGAGTTCTAGTCCCACTTTGGGCACAAAGCTAGTTTGGTACCCTTAGACCAGCCAATAACAATAACAATAATAGAGTTGGAAGGGATCTTTGAGGTCTTCTAGTCCAACCCCCTGCTCAGGCAGGAAACCCTATGCCATTTCAGACACACACTCTCAGTCCTGGGAAGAAGCAGCGGCAAGCCATTTTTGAAAATCATGCTAAGAAAACTGCAGGAGCTTGTCTAGGCAGTCAACAGGAGTTAATACTGCCTCAAAGATGCACCGCCTATACATGCGTGGAGAGATTAGTTTTGTGTTAACACAGCCTTAAGCTAGTGAGCAGAGAGCATGTCTGGATTGCAAAAGTCTCTAGTCAACACTAAGTGAAACCAAATGTACCATTGCTTATCTCTTCTAAAAGTTATTCAGATTCTTGCAGCTTAGAGGACTCTTAAAAGTTTGCAGATGAATTTGTGTACTAATTACCACTGATATCTGAGCTTTTATAACATTCTAGGCTAAAAGACATATAGGTTTGTGGTTGAATAGATTATGCAGATTCAACCAAAATGGTTTGTTTAGAGCAGGCATGTTCAACTTGTGGCCAATGGGCTACATGCAGCCCTGGACAGCTAATAATGTAGCTTCACAAGAACTTGTGAACTTGTGTAATGCTGGTTTTAGTCATACATTTTGCTAAGCCCAAGTTTTTTTCTTTGTTTTTAAAAAAATCATATTTGAGGAAACTATTGTGGCATGGGTCATATGTTACATTAAGCTATAATTAGCACTTCACAGATAGCACTAAATTTAAAGCAAATTGGCAGGATGTGCAAACCAGACATTTGCCCTGAGCTTTCCATGAAGACTGCTGTATGGCAGGGGTATCAAACTGCTGGCCCACGACCCCATTGCCGGCAATGGAAAAAAAGTCACGATACATTGTGACACATCACGTGACGTTGCAAGTTTGACACCCCTGCTATATAAGGTCTTCACAGTTTACAGGATATTAACATAGAAACTCCATCCCCTTTTACTGATATTAGCTAGTATTTAAAGAAGTAATGGCAAATATTAAATTTCAGCAATTACACTATTATGAACTATTGCAGAATTAGTTACATAGCTCTCCAGTCTCAAATTGCATAAAGTTGGTTTTGTTGTTTATACTGCAAAAGAAGATAAGTAAAACAGAATGAGTGAGGGGTAACTGGTTTCCCACATACTTTGTTAAGTAGCCCCGATGACAATATTCAAAGTAGAGATTCCACAAAAGAATCAACAAGATTGTTACCATATATGACATCCAGTTGACTTACATAACTAAGAGAAAAACTCAGTGAGTTCAAAGCTTGTGGTAAGCTATCTTAAAGATAAGGGATATATCTTTTAAAGAAGACATTATTCCTCTATATACCAATAATACATATTTTGAGAAGAATATCCCATGTGGTGTTAGACCATGTATAATATTCAGCAACTCTAAAATATTATAGTCTAGCTGAATGAAAATGTGGTGATGGATTTCTACAGTTGGTGAAAGGCAATGACTATGGAAGCAGGTCTTGAGACTGTTATTTGGGAAGAGTTTGACTCTGTGACTCCTGATGATGTGGACAGGGTCCTGGGGAGACTGAACGCAACCACATGTTTACTGGATCCGTGCCCCTCCTGGCTGGTACTGGCGGCTCGGGAGGGTACACGAGCCTGGCTTCAGGGAATTGTAAACGCTTCTTTGCGGGAGGGAGCCTTT